AGACTGATTTTCGGAACTATACTTACAGTGCGGATGACGTTCGTAGTCGTACCCATACTCGTGGGCAAAAGCAATCCTAATAAAAGCTCATTTTCAGAGGACTGCATAAGCTGAAATAGGAGATTGTTTTATATTAAAATGAAACACACATATCGAAAATTCCCTGAAAAGATAAATAAAATGAAATTTGTTGAAAAGCATGGACAGTACAGGCCTTTGTTTTGTTTAAAAACAACATGGGTGCCAAAGGTGATTACTTTATCTCCAACCTCGTTCCCATGGTGTACAGCAAGCGGTACGCTCTCACCACTAACCAGTGGCGTAGCAAGGTCATGGGGGGGGGGGTTAGACGTTAAAAAAAGGCACTCGCCTCATCTGTGATAAAGGGCCTCCGTAAACAAAAGTCACGAACGCCCTTTTTTTTCACGAGTTTCCCCTTTTTTCACGAATGCCCTTGTAAAAAAGGCACTCTTTACAAAATAATGTGTGTGTGTGTGGGGGGGGGGGGGGGGAGTAATACATCCCTTACCCCCTCACCCTGGTATTGGATCATTTGCATGTTCAAAACAATTGCACATGTACAAAAATGTATGTAAATTTGGAATAGTCTGGTATCTGGCTGTGCCTTAAATTAGTGTTTGTTTTTGTATGCGGTGTCTGGGGTGATATCCGAAAACACGATTTTCTTCCAAGTTAAAATGTTACAATCTTATCCAGCCAATACATGCAGTATCACATTACATAGTATTATAAGCAAAATGAAAAAGAGGGGTTGTTTTTGCGGTGGAGTGGCCGTAATAATTTACATTGAACGTTAAAAATACGATACACGTTGGAAATGAGCACACCAAGTACACGATATCAATATATTGCTGTAATCGAATAAGGATAAAGGAAGTAAGTTTCCCTCCCAGAGGTTACTATTGGAAACGAGGTTGAGAATATAGTAACCCCTGGGGACGAGGTTGCTTATCTGAGAGCTTGCACAGAGCGCCCTCAATGTGGACAGGTTTTGTCACTTTAGATGTATAGGATCATTTGCATTTATCCCAAAATAATTGATATACTCTGAACTGTGACGCTGCTGCATCTTCTTTCTCCTAGGCCTTATGAGCCTTGAAATCCTATATCTGCCTTGGCTGATTTCAGCCAAATTTGGACAGATTTTTCCTTGACCAGAGTACTTAAGGTTACGAGCATGTGTGGTCAAAGGTCACCTAGTGGTCATTTTCTTTGAAGTTACAAAATGCTTCTCCCGCAGTCTTGATTCAATTAATGTCATACTTGGTCAGTTACCAAGTCTCATATAATATAGGTTGTGCGCAGAATTTGGCCAATGGTCACCTAATGGTAAAGGGGGAGGGAGGGGGGGGGGAGGAAACATTTCTTGGGGGCAGTCAAAACAAAATCTTAAGCCTGTGTACGCGCACGCGCGCGCGTGCCCATTGTCAATGGTCCGGAAATATGCCACTAGAGCAATTAGAAGTGTAGTCATTTTTTATGAATGAGAAAATGCATCAAACCGCAGAATGGTGTGTATAATGTATAAACAAGCTCGAAATGATCTCGGAAGCTGCGGCCCAACTCGTGTAGACGTGTTGTAGCCTATAAGTCATGTACATGATGTAAACAGTCTGTTTTAATAATGCACTTCTACTCACGTGGTTGTGACTGTCAATTGAAATAAAGGATTCGTATTTGTTGAATGTCAGTTGGTGCAATGGAGCGTTTTACATGTGGAACACCAAATTTGTGTGCAGTACAGTGCAAGTCCGAATACGAAGTGTCTATAGTCACATCTGGTTTTTGACTCTAGTGACCAGGGGCGCGTGTTGTTCAAGTGCAAGCCTAAGGGACAAGGTGATTGATGGCCAAAAACGGCCATTTCGTGAAGTTTGTTACCAACCAACCAACCAACCGACAGAGAGACATGACTACTTGTACTTGTAGAGCTGCTGATCAGCCGCAGCTTAAAAATGTGCACACCAATTTGTATCAAGCTTTCATTTGCCCCAAATGTGTCCATTTCAGGGTGACTATAAGGTCATGGCTCAATTCTGCTCAATGCACTTCAAAAATCTGTCAGATTTATCAAAAATCTGCCAAATAGTCCCCCAAATTACTCGAAATACACTATAACCACTTAAAAGCACATGCAGATGTTGCAGTTTTGCCTGAAAGCTATAGTCCATCATTTGCAGCTATCCGAAAAGTAACTGGCGTAATTATTGTTGAAAAACATACTTGGTTGAAAGATAGTAAGGGGACTAAACTCCCTGCGAAACGCTGAATTCAGGCCCAATTCAAAACATGATTCAGCAACTTTTGATTTGAAATCGAGATCCTAGAATGCTGTTTTTCTCGGAATATACAGCTGAAGCTAGCTGGGCTGAAACTTCATCAGGTTAGTTGTTCAGTACCCTTCTTTAGATTTTGAGCACTTTTGTTGCTTCAAACGAACAAAATGCACAAATTACAAGTGATGGACTATATCTTTAATAAGGGAATAAATGTGTGCTTCGGAGGTTCTTTAATAAGGGAATAAATGTGTGCTTCGGAGGTTTTTATCACTCTGTTTAAGACCACTTAGAGTCTGGGTGCTGATAATTACCCGAGCCGGAGGCGAGGGTAATTATCGGCACCCAGACTCTAAGTGGTCTTAAACAGAGTGATAAATACCGACGGAGCACATATTTATTCCCATTCATAAATACCTTTTCGGTAAGAGAAAATCATATAATTCGTTCAAAACATCCCGATTTTGTTCAACAAATTCACTTTATGCTTTTTGAAACATCCCTCTTGCAAAATAATGGAGTGTTCAGCTGGCGAGTAGGATGTAAACAACCCTTTTATGGAGATTGACGCGCGCGTATCATGTTCTGCGCGATGTCGCGCAGAACGCACCTGGCGCGTTGCGTTTTGAATTTAGAACTTTAAAATTCTGACTCCCTGGTAGTGTTGCGCATGCCTACGTTAGGATTGTGAACGATCAACCAATGAAACGATAAGAGGCACTGGATTTTTAGGAGTCCACATTTTATTGTGACACTGGAAAAGTGTTTAAGACCAGCTAGCCATGTCTTTATCATCCGTTTAAGACCGGCCACGTGACGGGCTCTCGACCAATAGGAATGCGTAAACTGTCTTAGGTATTTATGAATTAAGGTTCAAAATACATTATAAACAATCTATAGTCACATAAAAATGTTATGAAATTGAGTAAATTTCATGCAAAACGCAGTTGCGTCACGAAGTCGGGTTCCCAGTGAACCTCAGCACGTAGACTAGCCAACCTGTCCCATTATGCAAGAGTTTGTTTGACGGAAAAGATGAAAGCATTTTCACACAAATGTACAATTTTTTTCAATTTTGCTGTATTTTTCTGTTAAATAACCAATTTTGCATAATTCTGCCAGAAATCGGCAAAAAAAATCCATTCTGTCAAATTACCTGTCAAACTCGTTTTTTAACCAAAAACTGTCAAAGTTAGCCGAAAATCAGCTAAAACGGTCATCCTGCCACATTTTGTGAATCTTAACAGCGATAAACATAATTAATCTATTTGTTGATAAAGTGTTGGGAGAAAACAAAGGGGGGAGGGGCGCAAGAAAACACTTGAGGAGGGGAAGAACGGGAGGGGAGGGGGAATCCCCATGCCCTCTCGTAGCTATATAGCGCCGCCACTGTGATGCGTCTTGATAATAGACCGCTTGCAGACGCGATCGATAATTGACGCGCGAAGGTGCGCGACGCCATGTTATGGGACAAAATGTGCATGGATAGATATACGCCTGTCCCACAACATGGCGTCGCGCGCCTTCGCGCGTCGATCATCGAACGCATCTGCAAGCGGTCTATAACAAGCGATCTTCCACGGCCACGCACGCCGCCGGCTGAGTTTGATTTGTGCTGCACGCTGATTGGCTACACAATGAAATAAGATGATCCGGATGCGCGCACATGGACGTCGCCAAGGGAAGGGGGGCGCCGCCCCTGGAAAGGGAGGGGGGAGGAAAAGAAAAAAACAAACAAATTATAAATTTAGAATATGTTGAAAAAGGTAAGGGAAAAATGTGCTTTGCCCCCCGCCCCCCGGAAAAAAATCCGGGCAACGGTACGCCCATGTGCGTGCACGACGTCGCAACAACAATACAGGTCGACTGCGATTGATTCACGCCTTTCAGGAACGCGTTCCCGTCCCGGCGCAGAAGTTTAAAAATTAACTCTTTCGACCGTTTATTTATTTTTTTTTTTTTCAGCGCCGACTGATGTCCATCTTCTTAATATCGTCGCAGTTACACTCAAGTCGCCAGAAAAAAATCGGCGACTGATGCGTTTCCGGCCAGACGGTCGTAGCTCGGGCCGCAGCTTGATCCTGAAAAGTCAGTCGTCGATTGTTCTGTGTCGTCGCACGCGAAGTCGACTGAGGGCGGCCTAAACGATTCTATATACGAAATTCTTGATTCTGTGAAGCGTTCAACCCAAATATCTAATTGTTCAGTTTGTTCATAAACAAATTTCCGTCAGCACAAAGCGCCGGAGAGTCGTCGAAGTAAAATGACTTTTTATGAACGGTTGGCGCGACTTCAAAAAATCCCTGAAATCCTGCCGACTAAAAAATGGGGAAATTGGGCTGTTCACTGTTGTGGCTTCATTGACCACCTCTGAGCTTTTTTAAACGTCTATGATTGGATGATAAAGCCATTTACTACCGAATCCCAACATACCCACAAAGTAAACACTTCTAAGCACTCGACGAAGATTCGCTCGTACCCCCGCCCCGCAAACAGGGCAGGGCGGGGGTACGAGCGAATCTACGAAGATGGCTCGCACTTTGAACGATGGTGGCGCTAATGTCGATGCGCAATACGTGAGGGTTCGAGACAAGCTCAGCTGTGTGCCGATTCGTTTAACTGGGTAGTTAGATATGAAACCCTAACCACCCAAAAGCAAGAAAACACACAAGCCAATAATAATCTCAAACACGACAAATGAGATAAGAATAAAACAAACTTCCATTTAAAAGTTTGTAGATGATTATTTCATTGAAAGAGACCAACAAAAAATCATATTTGTACAAATTGTGCATTCAGACCGTAACTGCAAATACACATAATTCTTTATATTTAAATTCTTCTCATGCAATCTCCTAATAACAGAGTATTTTCTCAAGTCTTAAGAATAAAAGATAATAAACTTGCAAAAAAAAGAAGCCTTAAACAGTCAAATAAAAAACGACTTTGCTGGATGCATAAAGGGTAAAGGAGTACATCAGTGTATACATGAAAGTCAGTTATTAAAATGAATTGTATAATACAATTAACATGTCCAAGTGGAGCTCAATAAAAGATTCCAATATACTTCACCCGACCAAACAGAACCAAAAAATAAAAAATAAATAAAACAAAAATTTGAAGATCTCACAAAAGATTGGCAACATATTTAAGGCTTGCATTTTGCACCCCCCCCCCCAAAAAGAAAAAGACGTTACTGAAAAACCAAAGTTCTCAATTTATATAATTTTTGATTTTTGGGTTTGTGTGTGATAATAATTTACAGTATCAATTATAATGGAGTGATTGGTTGGGCTTCTGTTTTGATTTGAATATTTAGACAAGGATTGAAAAACATGCAAAACGATGCTTCACTTGAATGAAGGTTAAGGGTACTTTTAACTTCACACAAAATTGCAAAATCTGGTACTTTTTAAGAAACTAGAAGTCATTTTGGCCAATATGAAACTGCCCCTATTGAAGATTACACATAACTGCCACAACTCTGTATGATATTCTTGGTTCATCTCTTAGGTAACATTACAATGGAGTTTGGGAGCAGTACGCAAGCTACTCAATGCAAGTGTTATCCATAACTTCACACACACATGATGTGTCATTAATGAATCATTCCGCCCTAGACTAAGTTTTTCCAAACCCATGACAAACGAGATTGAATGTACATCCTATAATCAACACACCATCTAACATGGTCATACTACAATATCCAGCTTCAATTGTACATGTCAAATCTAGTTTCTTTAGTTACTGATAAAGGCCATGTGCCATTCCACATTAATGATAACATCCATGCTTCACCTCTGTGAGTTTAAGCTGATTATACATCTAATGGCAAGTATTAGCCATTTCAATAGCATACACATAATTGACACATAAGTTGATGTGTATGGATGTTTATGAAGAAAGCCAGATGTTTGCAGGGGACTGGGCTCTTACTGTGTCATGTTTAATCACGTCTATAAACTGGAGAAACGTTCATGATCAAAAACACTTTCAGTTTAAACAGTAGTAGCAAAAGAGATGTTTTTTAATGGCATGGTCGTAGAGTTGAGAATGGCTGGTGATTAGATGTTCCGGAGATGGGAGATCATCACACACCCTCAGGAGAGCTTCCAATCAGTCTACATCGACCACAGCATCAATGGCTGGGAAAGTCTCATAGAATCCCTGCAGAAATATGACAGTCAAAGACGTTTCACACAATTAAATTGAAAAAAAAACAAAGCAAATAAAAAGATATAACAATTGTTTAAATCAATGCAAGAAATAGTTCATGCAATGGGTTAAAAAACAGGCAATATCATCCAAGTCAATCTACTCAAGACCCAACCTTCTCATCCTTAGTGGGAATCAAACCACAAGCACCATTATAGGGCTAGACAGCTCAGTTGCTATAGCCCTGGTACATTGCTCCAAGATATTGATAGCTCAAATCTCAATTTCTTTGCTCATCCAATTGTGGTTTGAAAGTGAACCTAGTCAGTTTGCCTTGGCGGTTTATTTGACAATTTATCATTTTCATGAGATTATCATTTGTTGCTTATAAGAAAACAGACATTATAACAGGCAGAGGGAGATGTTGGCATTCCAGAGTGTCCCACTCTGTCTTTGTCACAGTAGCCTGATCCATTAGGCACTGCTCACTGCGTACCTCCCCAATGCATCACTGCATGTTCCTACTGCGCGGGTCATACACACATGCACGCATGTCAGACTTTAGTGCAAGCATGTCAGACATAAATAACGGTTGTGACTGGTCAAAGCACAATAGAACAGGGCTTAATGGATCAGTCTACTGAGGGTGTGTCTGCACACGAGGTCCCTAGGCAGAAGGAACAATGCAATGTAAACTCACCTGGTAGAGAGTGCAGCATTGCTTGACACCTGATGTACAGCACATCTCTCTGATGGAATGCATGCTCAGCTGTGGGGAACCGATATCTAACGTCCTCAGACCCAGCTTAGAGGATAAGATAGGGCCAATGGTGGATCCACAAGGACTGTCATTCCTAACAACCACATCCTTGGATAACAAAAGGAAACCATCAGATAATTCTGACAGAGAGAGGCTGTTGGAATGCCAACTGCTGGCAGTATTTTTAACTGTATACCAACATTTTGAAATTTTGTGTCAAAATTAATCAAGGTGTTAAACTAAAGATAAATAACGAAATGCAAATGAGACCTAATGCCTTATAGCTTTTTAATTTATAAAAAGGGACTTTGTATTTCTGTTAAGTTTTAATACTATAATTATAAATAATTTGCGATGTTTTAACAGTTTGCCAAAGTGTTTTCTACCAAGGCTGAATTATGTTGACGTGGGGACACCATTTTATTCGCAGGCAATGAAACTACCACTATTTAACAGAGATGAATGAAAATACGGAATTAAAATGTTTCATTACCTGAAGTTCAACACTGACTTTCTTTGCAATAAGTTTGACAATAGATGCTGTCACAGCGTTAGTGGCATACCGCTGATAACTGTTGTATTTCACCACAGGACCCTAGACAAGAAATGGCACATTTACCTACTGTTATTAAGAGATAATCAATGCTAACATTGCTCTTGAAAGCCTAAGATTAAAGTTATGGTCAAAACTTAGTATGGGAATGAACGCAGCAGGAATGAGCTGAGACCTAAACTAGGACAATTCGAAGAGGTAACATCAGCTATTTGATTAACATGGTGATCAATGTTAGACATCATTGCCAACATGATTCATAATGTATCCCTAATTCTCCTTCAGACAGGATTAATGAATCCGTTTGTCTCTTTTCTCCCACTAACCATGTGTATCTGATGACCGACTCACCAGGAATGCAGATTCTACACGCAGTATTTACAAAAATGTTTTCGCGTTTTCTATTTAAGCAATTGTTTATCTACTGCACAGTATGCATGAGCTGAGTATAAACTGGTTCCCTTTAACATACAGCATGTTAGAATTTTTTTTCCTGCTTGGGTTATGTGCTAGTGTAAATGGGCCCTTATGCTGTCAAATTAGTTTGAAAGATAAAACCAACCAATGCATTGAATGAACTGTCCTTTCAAAAAATAGTTTTCATATCACATCTTGAGATTAAACGGACACTTTCATTGAGAATGAGCGTTTTGGGGCTTTCAAATGCATTTCTCATGAAACAATAATAATTGAAAGGATCGTTAAAAATTAGAATATAACCATTCATATACCCTGCAAAATTATGGTTTTTGTACAATTATCACGTGAACTAATTTCAGGTTATAAACTTATTGTACTAAAAAATCGAACTGTAGGAGTGCTAGTTGCAAAATATGCTTGGAACGTATGAGCGCAAAGATTGCCATGTGTCTAAACCTGAAACTAGCGTGGGAGCTGAAATCACATACGATATGCATTTTATGCGTTGCCAGCGTTATGTTGACCATTTGGCTGAAAATTGGATGGTTTTCTTTACTGCAGAAAATATATAATATAGGCAATACGAACAATCACTGCTGCATCACATGTAAGCCAAAGTTTGTTTTTTTAACATTTAGGACAATATGTCGATAAGAAATACGGCTAGTAAATGATTAAAATGACTAAATTTAGGTGACCTCCGGAGGAGTGTACCATTAAGATGTGATTTAGCAATTTGTGTAATTAGGTGTTGATTGAATGTAAAAACAAATAAGTACCTTATGAAGGGCCACCTTGTGATTGTCCTCATGCTTGTCTCTGAGGAGAAATGGGGAATGATAATAATCAAGCCTGAACATATTATTTTATCTCATCCATTACAGGACAAGTGTATCCTGTGCTGGGAATATTCAGGAAGACAAAGATAGCACAACGATACAAAGGTATGGGACAGAATTAAGAGAAAATGTTACAAAACTTTGCACAATGACATAACTCCACTAAAGCCATATTTCAGGGCACAAGTTGCACAACCTTCCATATTGTGAATATTTCACCCTAACCACCTAGGGTGTGTGAACAATCACATTGAAATAAAATTCACATTCAAATAGAGTTCAAGAAATTCACAGCTTTTTTGAGGTACATGATATGCTCCTTTTACCCATGACAGAATTTGAATAGTTGCTCCCCGTTTACAAACAAAGACAAGGCTAATTTCAAAAATACTTTAATCACTGTTTTGTCACCAATGTGGAATCATACACAATCAGCCTCAATGAAAGCTGTGATCTTCCTTATTAAGAAGACCAAGATGTTTAACTTATTTAAAATGTTGCATTACTACACTAAATTTCAGCTGAGCACCAAATTTGTTGCGTAAATCCGTAGGAACTGTTTTAAAAAATTGGCTGCAGAACTTGCAACTAACAACAATAATCAGGATTGGGAAAAATAAAAAGAAATGGCTTTCCTTGTAGTGGCTGAGCCTTCAAAATTCCACCTCGCGAAAGACTTTGCCCAAACTTGCTTTCCACAAACCAAGAGTATGATCTTGTCTGAGAAAAGTTTGAAGTTTTGACAGAGAAATGGCATGGCTTTGTATACTTCCCAGTGAGTGGAAATAGACCGGGAGAAGAATAACCACAAGAAGATTGCAATAAGAGGTGCTTTGAATGTCCAGTATGAATGATATACATTGATAACAATATCAGTTACAGCATATTAACTATGGTACAAATAGTGAATATATTCAACATATTTTAATACTACTTCAGTAGATGTTTGGATGACAAGAAGATGATATCTTACGAGTAGTTTGGATGGACAGCGTGTGCCTGGTCAGCACTCATCATGAATGATTTGGGAACAGATTCTTCAAAGGCTGTAGGGCTCCCTCCAGCAGATAGACGCCTCATGATCCACTCAGTTAGAGAGGAATTGGCTCCATGAGCGCTGGAAGAACCAACCTGGGGGCATAAACATTCACACGTATTGAGTTAAATTCTGGAGGATTCTTTATGAAACAAAAGAGTCCTCAAATGTGTACAGACACTGCTGCTGAAGCCACCCAAACAAGCCACTCCATTTCGAAAAAGAAGAAGAAAAAAAAAGGGATAGTCTAGACTTTGGATACTGGCTGCGCTGTATGAATTTTGATTTCAATGCTGTATGTGTTGTCAAAAATGCATCAATGGAACTATATCACTATTTCAAAAACGACACTCATTGTAAAGAAATGGGACTAATAGATTAAACAAGGGAATGCTAGCAGTTATAAAGGTGTGGTTTAAACCAGTTATGGGCCTGGCCAATGTTAAAGTGACCAGCCCTTAATCGGTTTAAACATCACCCTTATAACTGCTCTGTCACATAATTACCCAATTCATCAATACCTTTTAGGTCCAAACCATTCAAATGACTTAAATAGTTGACAAACTTCCAATGATTTAGTTCTACCCTTTTACGTTATCAAGAAGTAGTACTCAAGCACTTGTTACTGTGCAAGCACTTCATGTTTTACAAGATGGTTACCACCCACATGGTGGGCTCTCGACCAATGGACATGGTTAAACCGCTCACCAGGCATATTTATGAGTATAGCATATAATCCCTGACACCCACATGCACCCATTTATAATCCAACTCTCACCTCTTCATGATCATAGAGTAGCATCATACGGATGTTGGGATCATTCTCCAAGCTGTCTTTGGTACTACAGGAATCAATCAGTGCCTGAAAACACAGCAGATACTATGCATCAAGATCTGTGTTATATTCATACATTGAGTACATCTAATTACATCCGTTGTACTAGATGCCAACACTCTTAACATTACGTTTACTTTATAAAGGTAATCATAATAAGTCTCCAAATATACTGTCTATGGGGTTCCCCCAGAAATCTTCAAATGAAATTCTGTGATTTTTCCAAAACTTTTCCAGGACAAAATAAGGCTTTCCATGACCAAATCCTAGGCTGTTTTGGAGCCTATTTACAGTACAATGGCCAGTCATTCTACCTAGGCAACGGATGCCACTCCCTTTTAGTCTTCCAGTTTGACACAATACCACTGGACACAACCAAAAAAGTACACTGGTGCATTGAACATGCCACAAGTATAGAGCGTTAAGAGGAAGTACAGTATACAAATAAAACATAGTTTGAGGCTGGACAGTTGATATTCGCTCCCCTCGGTATTGGAAGTTGACAAACTAGTTACCGAGGCGAAGCCAAGGGAACTAGTTTGCCAACTTCCAATACCGAGGGGAGCGAATATTGATATTCGCTCCCCTCGGTATTGGAAGTTGACAAACTAATTACCGAGGCGAAGCCAAGGGAACTAGTTTGCCAACTTCCAATACCAAGGGGAGCGAATATCAACTATCCACCTGAAATATACCATGTTATATTTCTTTAACTATACCTCATACATATTCAGTTGCCACATTTTCCCGTTGCAGTATGCACCTCGTGGGTCAGAGAAACTTGTCTCACCAGAAGAATATTATGGCTCAACGTCAAAAAAGTTCAGTTCGTTTGCAATACAGTAACTACAGTCAGCGTCAGTGCAACAAGGTCGTAACTCCATTCTGCAAGAAGGTCGTATCTCGACGTCCATTGACTTTGTGTGTACATCCGGGTTGTTTTAAGTGAGATACGACCTTTTGACATTCTGAAACTTGCATTTCTTGTAATGCCCATTTTAGGAGATACGACCTTGTTGCACGGACACGAGTTGTAAAATACAGTTGCTTGTGGATAACTTTGGTTTGTACAGCAGTCATCTTTATTGTCCACAATATTCTCCATTTCGGCAATATTGAGCTTGGGAAAATGCTAAGGGCAATGTGTAGCTAGGGCGATGTGTAGCTAGGGCGATGTTGTCGCATGAGTACTACACCCGTGCGACAGTTCCACGATTGCTTTGTAAAGCGCATGCGTAGTAGACTGTCGCGACAGTCTACTACGCATGCGTATTTACTCTGCGCGTGAATCCTCGCGGGCGCGCATGGTAAACAGCAACAAAAGCATCTGGTACGTGATGGTGAATTGACAAGTGAGAATTTGGCTCTCCATCATGAATATGTATGAGGTATAGTAATAATACTTGCCTCCCTCTGTAATCCACAAATATTTTTTCCCCTTGGCCTCACCTCTGGGAAATAGAATGCTCAGTGGATCATATTGGGAGGCATATTTTACTGTATCACACAAAGCAGTCAAAATTGGTATACTATTCTTATTGTGCAAAGAGGATGTCACTCATTACATTGATATAAATGTCTATTATCAATTCTGAATCTATCATTTTTATTCAAATTTGCCTTTCTAAAAAACTGATTTGCCAATAAATATTTACAAATGTTTAACTGTGATGTGCTAGACACAAGGCTGACTATGTTCAGCCGTTACCCAAAACTTGTGCCTGTACATACGTACCTTGAGTGACGTGAAGCAATTCATTTGATTGTCAAGACGAGGAGCAAATACAAACTCATTCAGGGCGCCTCCTATTGTCTGCAAAAAAGGAAATATTCCTGTCAATATGTAATCAATTATTAAAGGTCACATGTGTACATACCATGAATGTGACTCACACTGAATAGGGAATTGGATCATGGATGAATACCTAGGAAAATACATTCACTGTTATTGAAATAATTATTATTGAACAGTTTGCCAAGGAATGCTGCAAGGGAAGTGTTGCTTACATGAGTATACTGACTTTTTTCTCCATGACATTGATGAGAAGTAATGTAATACACTGTTTATGTCTTAACCAAAACAGCGTTCTCAGTGACTACACATTACCATGGTTATGTACATAACCATTACTGACTAAACAGGTAGCCATGGTGAAGTGTCAAGATCTCAAGCTCATGTGTCAAGTTCATCAACCACTTTCTGTCTTCCTGAACACTAGTTGAAATAATCAAAGCAAAGTTTGGGGCCGAAAATTTGAAATTCGTAACTTTCAAGAGTGCATTTGTATTTTCATATTTTTAACATTAATTCATAATAATTTGTTCATAATAGTTGGCAGTTATGGGTACAGCTGGCTTATCAATCACCTACAGTCAAAGCACAGCTGTATCATCTTACACAAGCAGTCACAACCAGTCAATCCTGCTTTAGTCAGGGAGCACTGAACTGTTAGAAACAGCCACTTGATTTCTTGTGACTGTTGGGATGGGTGTTGTTGAATTTGCCAGCCAGAGAGGGACCGTTAAATGATTATAACCATTAGCATCATTAGCATCCATACTGTATTTGTATTACATTGCATTTATTCACTGAGGAATAAAAAATAAACATAGAGCGCTTAGACCGTAGACGGTTTTTGGGGCTACAGTGACAAAAGGGTTAAGACATTGAGAAAATGACAAACTGCCAATATAGATGGTAGAGCACCAGAACAGTATTCCAGAGGTCTAGGCTGAATTCCTGCTTCAACCAATTGCTTTGTTCAACTTGTTACAGAGACCATTATGGTACACTGGTGTGATGTTTTTACATACATAAGAGATTTGTAACCTACTTACTGCTGGTTGTGTGTCAGTAAGGCAGAGCTCAAAGTCTAGAATCTGCTCAGGGCTAACACTGAGGTCTTTGCACAGCAAGTTGATGAGGATGGGATGATGCTTGGAAGAAGCCTGAAACGGCACAGAAAATACATATCTTAGAATAAAATCAGAAGGTTCCAGACAAACGTATTCGCATACACACCAACAACCTGACCTCTCCCATATATGGACTCCATCTACGTACACTTTACTGCGATAGAGTCCTCAAAATAAATATCTCAAAATCGCAAGGAAAACAATTTGCGGTGCAATTTCTCAAAACTTATCGGTATGACATTGCTGAACTTGCTAAAGGGCCAATGCCACAAGAAACAAAAGCTTTGCTTTTCCACAATTTGATTAATTCAAATGGAGAAATATAATCCAATAAATTGGTAGAGAAAATCTTCCCAAAGTAAACTCTGTTCATCACATCCTATATTGACATGTATTGCGTGGCTTTTCATATCTAAACAAAACTGTATGCCACACTTGTTTCATAGTTTGGCCGCAAACAGATTGGAAGTACAACATGTGCACCAGGACTTCTCATACATTTTTGTACATCCCGCCACGTTAATGCTGTGAACATGACAAGTTGACTTGGGAATGTAAAAATGTACTTCAAGAATATAGTTATTCTTGGATATATTTCTTCAGAAAATGATGTAAAAAAATCAAGTCAAAGAAAACAAACATTGCAGGGTATCAAAGTGAAGGTCTAACCATATACTACGTTTCATCATTCTCACGTACGCAAGTTGCGAGACATTTCTCTGCAACCATTCTTCCTATTGTGGATGGAGTTACACATAGGAGAAACATGTGGTATACATGTGGTATGTATAGTGCAGCAAAAGGCTAGCCATCATAGGCATCACAAAATTAAAGTGTAATATAGTTTAGTAATATTTTGTACAACTCTGAATTTCTGCAAATGTGTTATTTGCTTGCACTTCCATGAGTTAATTCTGAAATCAGTTTACTAAAAACACAATCCAAATGTTTGAGCAGGGATTTGAGCCTCTCACCTCACAAGAATCTTGTTGTTCCTCGGGCACAGGTGCTTCAATCTGTTGCCTAACGGACGTAGCCAGCACAGGAACACTAGGAATCAGTGGACAAAAACACACAGGATTCATTCAAGAGGTAACTGGTTTTATACAAACACAAATTACACACAAAATATAAGACGCTATCCCAATCTCCTTAATAAATTGATTTGTTGCCACGCCAACCTACAACTCTTCTATATATTTTTGTGAGTTTTGTAATATTCTCTTCGTGCATCTTCCAATAGAAAACCCTCAAAACAAATCACTTTGCAGGTCGAAATATTCTCCTTTATTACAGTTCTGTTACTTTACTTGGCTGAAAATCGTTTGTTTGGTTTTTTTTTTGGGGGGGGGGGTGGGTTTCCATTTTCACATTGTACTACAGTCCTCTATCCTGAAGTCTTAGTCCAGGACTAAGTGTTTAATAGTGAATCAGAGTTTACGTCATGGATCAGACCAAGTAAGAGTTGGAGTCATGACTTAAATGCAAACAAAATCAACCAAAATCAGCCATGTTCCTATTGGACTTTTTTGGGTGAAAATCACCAAAACGATGGTTACTTTTCACAATTCTCCAGTGCAAACAGCTTGGTAAACTTTCCTCCTGTGGCCTCGTGGTCTGGAGCACTGAACCCATAGTCTGTCGGTAATTCTGCAGGTAGTGGGTTCAAGTCCAGCCTGGTGTTATGGTGCGTGTGCCCTTGGGCAAGGCACTTTATCACTAATTGCTTCTCTCCACCCAGGAGTAAATGGGTACCTGTGAGGGCAGAGATTGTTACTTTGACTGATTTTAGCTGCTTTGTGCTGAAATGGCTGCATAGAGCTCTATACTCCCCAGTGAGCTGAGATTGTCTTTGGAATGTTGCATTGGCTCAGTGAGCAGGTTAATAATAATATAAAGCGCTTTGGTCTTAGTTAAAAGTTATATAAGTATCCATCAGTAGTGGTAGTAGTAGTAGTAACGATTACTTCTACAGGCCATCCTCTGCATAGTAAAACCAATCAGGCCAATTTTCCCAAGATGAGAAGTCCAGTTCTAACAGTACGAGAGTTGGTAAAATGACACAGAAATACTAAACGGTAAAAAAAAAAAAAAAAAAAAAAAAAAATAGGTACAATCCAAAAACGGCTTTCGAAGTTCGAAGTATCACAGCCTTTATGTCAGCATTAGATACTGACCACATTACCGCCGGGTATATGCTGTACAATAATAAGAAACGTCATGTTTTGCACATTTTACAGGATAAATATTTATGCCTCTTAGGGCTGTTTTATGGCAGAAATGTCTGAGCATACGTATGAATCAAATACTTGAACAGGCCTTGAATTTGGGAATTTTTAGGGCAAGGCCACTTTGGCCTTGAATGGAGCAAAATTATAGAGGGCACCAAGGGCAGCTGGGAAGGCACCAAGGCCAAACTAACATCTGCAGAAGGGGCACAGAGGCCGGCTAAAAAAAATGCGAATTTATATCGGCGATCATGTAGTTTATGGCCCCTCTTTAGTTTCGATCAAATTTGAGTCAAAGGTGTTTTTATCATTCAAAAAATTACCTTTTCAACCTAAAGCAGACTTCTCTCAGCTTATATGGCACCTGTTTTGTAATTTTGAACACTTTTTGGGGATAGAAATTACGTTTTTTGTAAGCGGTTTTTATGGTTGGTGACGTGCGATCGCCATCTCTATTTTCGTGTTGCGTTTTTTCGTTGTCGTTTTCCCTCCAAATTACCCTTAAAAATTCGAAACCCTTCCCTCTATCTATAACCTACCTGCATGTTCTTAATGTGGCTTAAAAGTTGATTTTGTTCTCTTGGGGAATCGGGCCCATAATTAATACACGATCACCATTTACAATGTCCGCTTTTGACAATCGGAATTCGGAACGCCATGTGCACGTGTGTTTTTACTATGCATGCCCCGAGCTCGCTTGCCTCGTACACGAACAGCAATGTGTTCTGTATATACCGCGCATGCAAGCACTGAGAAAAAGAAAGTCTGTTGACTGCACGTAAGATCTGCCGTACTTACTCCTGCTGGTATGTGTGTGTACGAATACAGACATATATTTTTGCGGCAGGGGTGTCGCTACTTGAAGTATCGGCACATACAGGAACTGGAGATTCAGTTGCCAGTGTACGTGTGTGTACATCATGTACAGTGGGGAATCGCCGGCGTTTGGCCGGCCGGCCGGCCACGGCCGTACTGCGCGCGTGTGATTGATTCGGCGAGATATTAAGACAACTGATCGGGCTGGCATGGCATCGAAATACATTGTCAATGTGTGGAGAAACAACTGGAATCAAGGATTGTAGTGGTTTTAATAGGCTGATAGATGTTTTTGCAAAAAGGGCACGACGGCCAAGGTAATTATGGGGCAAGGCAAAACTGGCCGTGAAGACAGGGATTTTTTGTGGGGCACCTCGGCCAGTAAGAAGGCAACGACGGCACTGGCCGTCGTTCAATTCAAGCCCTGCTTGAAGTAACATGTGAAGTCTGAGTTATTAATCATCATCGTCATCCGATGTAAAGTATTAAAATGTGGCTTGCATTGATTCAAGTCCAAGTACGAGTCATACGTCATACAAGTCTGCCTTGCATTGTTTTTCTACACATACATTCATTGAGAAATATTGGACATTTAAAGGAAAAGGCACCGGTATACTGAGCCAAACTGGAACATTCAGCAAGCGACAAATAAACTCCAACCTAGGTACAAACACTACAAATTGTGAATAATACACTTTGAATTGGGAGATAGAACTGCACTGTGCTTTTGATATTTAAATTTATTGATTTTCCCCCTTAGATTAGTTGAGGGGAGCTGTTTTGTAACAGAAATGCTCAAGGCTAGGTACTTACATTTCTGTTTCTTTGTTTGGTCCAAAGTTGTCATTAACTGAGCGATTCAAGTGGATGCAAAGATTAGGCACTCTCAGGATGGGCCTCTGTATGAAAACTAGACGGTGACGAACTCTGCTGTCCTCCTGACAAAAGAAGAATTGGAAATCTTAGCCTCACTCAGCAAGTAGAAATATTATCAACTTGTAAATAAAAGAATGTCAGGAAGGGCATGAAGGAGCCTGAATGACATAGAAAGTACTATCGCAAATGTTACTCTTGTAATAACTTATCATAAGCTCAATCTCTTAATTACTGATTTATTCCTTTGGTGTATTTTGGACATAATTTAGTCTGCAGAATTTTAGCATTTTTTGGAGAGCTTACCTGAACCAAGACTCTACCAGCTACAGTCAAGTCTCTATCAAACCAAGAATTCCAGATACCGCCTCCGTAACACTCCACCCCAACACCAAGGTAGCCACTCTTCACTTTCTTGGAGCCTGGTTTGACCTACAAGAGTTCAATATTACAAGAATTGTTGCCAGTGTTCATTCAACATCAAGTTAACTCTTTCATTACATAATGAATTGTCTTAACTCAGATGAACTTCAATCAATGGGCTATGCTGTTCAAGCCTGTATATCAGATCATCATCTCTGGCTGGGGCTATTTTGAGCTAAAGACCAACTCCAAAACTGTATGAAAAACACGAAGAATATTGTACTTCACTTTTGATATCTGTTAGTGGAATCATATTAAAAGAAATCAATCAGATCCATTTTGAAAAACTTGCATCATTAGATAAATATGTGATGATTTGAACTGATTTTCTAAAAAACTTTTACTTTTAGTGGCACTTGTGACTCGATGACGTTTGGAAAAGAGAAGACACTGTCCTATTCCCAGGAAGTGTCGTAAATGTAGGCAATGGAACTATGTCATTGTTTTAAAGAGAAACAAATATTAAAAGCTGATGCAGCCATTTAAACAAATTGAGAGCCAATAACAAATTGTGGGGTAAAAAATCTGCCTTTTTAAACACTGTTGCTGACGTCACAAATTAATTTAACAGAATGACTGGGGTTAACGGTAATCGACATTATAAGTTGAAAACCTCACATTCTTTTCTTATTGGAATTGCCTTAAAAAAAAACCCCACTGAGTTGCCTTTTAAACAAAAATCACTACACTAAACTCAAAGGTCTTTACAGGCATGCAAAAAGCAGAGTGTGATCACGAGCAAGCCTGTGCATTAAAAGCAACGTGTGAACGCCTCCAGTCAAATGCTGGTCAAAACGTCACCACAAAACTTATGGGTCCTGGTTCCAAGATTGGTACCAAGATTGTGGGGCCAGAACCAGCCTACCCTGCGGGAAACGGTTGTTAGGCCGCAAGTAATTTGAAATAATAATTCAGTAACTAAACATTGGCTGATTTTTTTCAGTGCATGTCTCATTCAAAAGTGATTAACTTTTGTATATAGCTAGAAAAATAGCAATTTAGAAAAGAAATCTATTTTGGGGGATAAAACATGAAAATAGCACGGGGAATGCAAATTTAAGTATGGCCTGGTATTTTTTGTTAGCATTCTAGTGACTATTACCTTCAAGCAGGGGCTATCAGTATGAGCACCAATCATACTGAATCCATTACCAGGTTTGTATTGGTTAGCATTCTAGTGACTATTACCTTCAAGCAGGGGCTATCAGTATGAGCACCAATCATACTTAATCCATTACCAGGTTTGTATTGGTTAGCATTCTAGTGACTCTTACCTTCAAGCAGGGGCTATCAGTATGAGCACCAATCATACTGAATCCATTACCAGGTTTGTATTGGTAAGCATTCTAGTGACTATTACCTTCAAGCAGGGGCTATCAGTATGAGCACCAATCATACTGAATCCATTACCAGGTTTGTATTGGTAAGCATTCTAGTGACTATTACCTTCAAGCAGGGGCTATCAGTATGAGCACCAATCATACTGAATCCATTACCAGGTTTGTATTGGTAAGCATTCTAGTGACTATTACCTTCAAGCAGGGGCTATCAGTATGAGCACCAATCATACTGAATCCATTACCAGGTTTGTATAGCATTCTAGTGACTATTACCTTCAAGCAGGTGCTATCAATATGAGCACCAATCATACTGAATCCATTACCAGGTTTGCATTGGTAAGCATTCTAGTGACTATTACCTTCAAGCAGGGGCTATCAGTATGAGCACCAATCATACTGAATCCATTACCAGGTTTGTAGTGACCGCCGACAGCGAAGGCCATGATGGTGGACTGGTTGCGTGTCACAAAACACTGGTTACAAGCAAAGGAGAAACACAAAGTGAATATAATATTATTGAAGCACGATATATAAGGTTCATCACAAACTTAACACTCAATATTTGTACAGAATATAGTTTCAGCAGTAAAGCTAACATTTGTCCACAACTGTATGCCGAAGAGTTCATGTGAATTCTGAGAAGTGTATTTTTTTTACACATGCTCCAATGCCATCCGACATCAGGGAAAATACAGGAACCAAGCACACATACATCCAAGAGAAAGAGACCGTTCTGGAATTGTAACCAAGTCCAATGATGAAATAAACACTGGCTACATGTAAAGCACACTGTACAGTAATTCACCTTGTCCAATGGCTTGACATTCCATGGTTCCTTCTCCTTGAGTTCAGTGAAGCCAGCTGCAAGGAGTCGTTTACGACACTCATTCACCACTGTAAAAGGATCACACCATGCGTACACATCACAACACAGCTAATGATAAGAGCTTCCAATTACAACAAAATAATGTTTAGAACGTAAAAAGAATGTTTTGAAAGGGAGCAACATTTGCAAACATCAACTAACAAAACTACCAAATTATTATGAATATCTTACTGGACTGATAGTGACTGACAGTTTAAAGCATCCTGTAAAATCATGGCACCTGGTGTGCTGTCATTTTCAGGGAAAGTGGTATTTTTGTATCATTGGAAAAAAATTGCTTTTTTCAAATACTGCCCCTAATTTACCATATTTAATTGGTCTGCATTTTATTTGCAATCGAGTACACACCTATGAACGGGTACACGACAGCTAGACTGGTTCCCTGACCTCACAATTCCCCAACGTCTCTTCATCGTTTCATCTTAGGTGGGGTCAGGGAACCAGAGTACAAGAACATGATTGTTTTTCTAGGTGTTTCCAGCATCTACAAATACAAAACTTCAAACAAGTCAGTGTAACAATATTTGCTGTAAAATAGTAACCCCCAAATCTATCAATTTCTGAAAATTACAGCAAAAGCAAATGTTGTATATTCCCTTTAATTTTGGACTGCATAATGTGAAATCATGCATAACACCAAGTTCAGTAAAAAATAAGTAAGATCGCCCATACAAAGTATTGGACGAAAAAACAACAACCAAACTTAATGTACATGTAGAATGGTAAGGCCCCTTTGTGCATCAGCAAAGATGGCATGACAATAAAGATGAATTGTTCTTGGGACATAAGGCCAAAAAAAAAGTTCTGCTTCCGATTACATGACATTTAAAAATAGGGTTGATAGATAGGTAATTTTTTTTGGGGCCAATTTTTGTGTGTGTACGATCATGTGGAGGTGTGTGTGTGTAGTCAAGGGTAAAAGGTACAAATTGATGGTTTTGTGTTTTTTTTCTTCTCATTTTTCACATAAAAAAATAAGGGTAGGGACTTTCAGAATAGGGTAGGTAGGGAAACCGGAAGCAGAAATATTTTTTTTTTACCTAAGCAATAACTTAACTGTTGTAATTTATAGGTCTTAAGACAATGAGGACATCTGTCTGCATTTTTCCTGATTAATTTAAAATAGAGAAACTTGTTACCATGAAAAGGCGATGGAGCTTTATTGATGAATGTGATCAGTTCCTGGGCCGCAGCCTGGGTAGCGGCTTGTCCAGAGCTCACAGGCTGGAAGAAAACAAATCAGAGTTTAGATAAATACAAGGGGAGAGATACGATTAAGAAAAATGAATCATACTAATCGTATTGTAATCTGATGAATAATTCTAAATGTCATTTCATGCTTTGGGCCAAATATGAAACTGCATTCTGTACAACATCATTTGGCAAATTCTCATTCAAGAGTGTACTGTACAACACTTGTTTGTGTGTACACGTTAAGAAGTGTGTTGCGCATTAATTTAACTTTTTCCGATCAAAATTTCACTTAGTCCCCATTCGACATGTCTGAAGAAATTCTGATTGGACTGTATGGAACAGTTCATTAATTTTTGTCTAAGGATGTTTAAAACGTTTGTATCGTTCAAATAAAACAAATCAAAAAAGTATGTGGAAAGTTAACTTTTTCGAACAACAAATCGTTTTGTCTGCATGGGCAACACTGAATGGTGTATACATGCAAATAATAGGCAAATATTCTAATGAATTATTACAAAAAGGCACACTAACAAATAGAAGTGTTTGAATATTTCTATTCAAGAAACAGGCAAAGTTCAATTTCATTATATCCATACCGGTACATGTCAGGTAATGTGCACATCCTTTGTGAAAAACATTATTTTATAGTCAAGTACATGTACATGTACATCAGTAATCCTTTAGTTGTAGTCTGATCAATAAAAGTAGTACAAAATGTAAAAAGTACATGTACATGCATGTACAATGTATGAGTACTAATACTATAAAGTGTTAAATACATGTGTACCTACACGAACTAAGATGTAGGTGACCAGCACACAAATAACGAAACCAAAATAATAAGAATGACACATATTGAGCTGTGACATGCATGGCAAACATTCAAAAATGAAACTCCCGAAATATTATGAAATATCCTAGATTGTAAGTAAATAATAGGATCAAGTATCCTGTGAATTCATTGTGTCTAGTATGCGGTCATTTTGAGAAAAGAGAAGAAAAAAAAGGTGTTTTTTTCCAAAACTGCCCCAAATTTACCAAACTTAGTTTAGTTTAGAATATGTTATATAGGCATATGTTGTATCCGAGAATGAGACTTATTTTTCCTGGGTGACAAAAATGGGTTTATACATGTACGATCAGAGGGTGCAGGTCAAAACGTATCAACAATGTGGACTGTGGAGGGGAGGGCTTTCAATGGGAACCCTGCTTTGCATCAAGAGAAATGACGATGTCTGTCCACAGTTTTCTCAAAAAGTATATCTACTGGGCTGAAACTTTTCATGGGTAAGTTTTTTTTAATAATCTGACGATGACCCAGTACTTACATATATTTATCGAAAACCAACATCTGGTTTTCTTGATTATGATACTACACCAAGGAAAAGTTATAGAACTCTGAAAAGTTATTAGTATGAACAGAGAAGTTGAGAAATATTAGGCACTATACACAGAGACACAATTAGCAATGCAAAATTGGACATACGTGTACATTCAACAAGGACTCAAACTAAAGCCATATTCCACTGAGCCTGACTCATGTACTGTACAAGAACCACTACTAAAGTGAGGTTGAAAACAGGCAAACTAACAAGTTACTGATTTGGAGAAATGTTGGTACTACCTCATTTACATGGTGAACAAAGAAGAGGTAAATTATATAGTATGCCGAGAAGTACATGTGAATCAACTGGAATTTCACAGACTCACGTCATGTATTTCACTCAATGTAACTGCAGTAGTTGTTGAAGGGTGTGTCAGAGGTGGCCATTGGGGTTGCACTTGTAACGTTGAATTTGTTACTTTGTTTGTTGCAACAACTGATGATGATGCGAATGTGTTATACACATCAAGACCCGATGAATTTCTGACTGCTTGTCCGTACATGTAGTTGGCTTGATTGCCTGGATCAGGAATGACAGATCCATTAACTCTGATGCACGGAATCAGACCAGAAGAGTTGACCGTCGGAGAATATACTTGACTGTTGACTGCAGTGAATGGTGTGATCCCAATAGACTCAACCTCATCAAGACTGGATGGATCCATGGGTAGGGGAACCTGTTGACTGCTGTTGTCTGCAGCAACCAGTCGTGTTGTGACCTTTTCATGTGCACAATGAAAAGATGGATCCAATGCTACAGGATTAACTTGCACTGGATGAGTATTGTCCATAACCATGGATGTTAGCGTGAATGACTCCTGCACAGCACTATTACAGGGGACTTCTTCTGGTTCCTCTTTGATGACTACATGTACACCAGTGGTTGTGGAGGATGCTGGTGGTGAGGGTGAAGATGGTGGTGATGAGGATGAAGGAGGTGGAGATGATGAAATACCTGGCAAAGTGCCAAGCTCAGCGCCAATTGAAGAAGAGCCTGACGTTTGGGTGTCACTATAACCATTGGGCATTGCTTTCATTATCTTAATGCTTTCCAGGTGCTTCTTGCTCCGATCGTGCGCAATGACGTAATCCTTCCTGAACGTGCTGGTGCCTCTAATGAAGAGGCCAAGGTACATGCAACTGGTCAAGTAATAAGTGTCTTTACAATATGCGCAGAACATGACTCCCATCTCGTAGCGAAGCCAAGGAAACTGCCTTAGCCATCGCTGAACAAATTTACGCTGGCAATGTTTTTTCCCCTTTACAGATGGTTTTGAGTGGTTAGATGCTGTTTGCTGTCTTGATCTCCGGTAGGGCAATCTCTGGTCCAGTGAGTTCTTCCTTGGAAGTAAACGGGGTCGGTGCTCAGTGGCAGAATGGTCATTAGATACAATTTGAGCATTCGACATGTTGGAGGATGTACCCATTGGCAGGGTGCCTATCCAGTTAGCATCATGAACAGAATCAGCATTCTCCATTTCTTTATCTTTTAAGTCTGTTTGGCAAGTATAGAAACAAGACATTGGTAAATAATCAATACTTGAAATATTCCAATGCAGTAACACACAGTAAACAAGAAACAAGCGTTCCTGATTGATAGAGAGGAAAAGAAACTGATAGTCATAATCTCATCTCAGCTCTGACAATACCAAATTATTCATGCACAATTGAACGACATACGATTATTTTAATCAACTGTTTTACTTGGTACAGCCACCTGCACCCATTGTAAACATCTCATTAAATAGGTTTACAGATGAATTGTATGTTATAAATACGTTAACAATCCATAAACACTGGGAAAAAGTGTTTTAAATTGCCAATTATTCTGATTATTTATGTGATACCTCTTATACAGCATTAAATTCATTATAATAAATTTCTTGATACACACAACTCTAAGATATGTGAAAAACCAGAGATACATGTACACATTATGTAAAACAGGGACAAATACTCTGGAGAATTCCTATCTGCCCCCAGCTCCAGGATGTCAGTCTTGCAGCAGTTATAACACACCATGGCCAACGGCATTACGATGACTTAAAACCACACCCTGCTACATGTACTCCCATCGCTGCACAGTGCACACCTTGCTTTGCACATTTTATGCACAATATTTCATTGGCCTAGAAGGTGAAAAACTGTAGGACCACAGAAAATCAAGGAATTTGACAAGACATCTATCTGAAGCCAGTACAGTATGTGTCAAACTCAACAAATCCAAGACTTTTCATGTCAAGGATGCACAAAACTACAATGGAACAGGCACAAGACTGTAAAACAGCATATTGAAATGACACAAAGATACGGTATCACTCTTGAAGTTACATCTTTCAAGATTCAGTCAATTCGTTATCAGATTGAGTCCTGTGTTGAAAAGCTTCCTTCTTATGACAACCTCTATCGTAAACACAAGACACGGCAACCACACATATGTACACATTAGTACAGGTGTACACAGTTTCAAGTGTGCTAATGTTCCAACACCAGTAATAGCTTGCAAGTACATGAGTGCATCTTCAGGAACTACATATAGCAACTACATATATAGAACCTGTCATATAGCAAACAATCTGAGGAGGTACCGGTACACGTACACATATGACAATCAGATGTGCACTTCTACATGTTTGTGATCTCCATGTAACAGTAAACATGGGTAACAACTGTTTATTTCCAGCATGGCTTGTCGTAAATTTCCAGCCAGGATTTCAATCAGCATTTTCTTTATTATAATTTACGATGGTCTCAACATGATATAAAACAAGAGCTCTTCTACAACATGACTGATGAAGACCTCAAATGGATATGCAGCTACATTTCGTATGTATGGTACTCACTGAACTGCTTTGGGAATGTGCCACAAACCTCTTCATAATTCTCAGAGAAAACCTCGGCAACAACATAAAGCTGACACACTTGATAAGGATCTACAGGAAAATAAATTCAGATGCAGGATGGGTCAAGAAGAAGTACAGAGTGCTTTTCACACCTGCCAATAAGACACTGTAAGAAAACATCTGGCTGCATGTGCTGGTACAGTATACATGTACCGTACACTATTGTGCTCAGACATCTTGACCGTCGGTCAACTTGACTCAAACCAACTTAACCATTGACACAACTCAACCACAGTGCCCTCAACTCAAAAGACAAGAAATCAAAAACAAAAATGAAACAAAAGGTCCATGGACCACTTGTCAAGTTGGTCAGTCGTCATGTTGTCTGACATACCAGTATAACATGTACAATGAATGCACACACTATTGAGACCAACTTTCCCTGCAATTTAATCTCAGTTGTATAATGTAGTTGAAACTATAGTATATATAAGTCAGAGAATGGAATGAGACAAAGACTTGAAGACGTTTGAAACTGACACCAAACAGACATACGAGGACTTTAAGCCCATGAGACCAAGGAGTTTGAATCCAGGTCCAATGCCTAATTACATTATGACTTCAAGCAACAATCCTACTGTACACATTACTGCTGGGCAAGTAACTCAATTACTCGTGAGTAATTTATGCTACTCGTTGTTATACTCGTGGTTTTTCATCTACTTCTCCCTGCGCGAGTAGAAGCAGAACTCGCGAGTAGCAATTTAGGGTTTAGGGTTCACGGCTTAATACGTCCCCAGCAAAAAGGGAATCACTCCCTTCACCTCTCTCTCCCTAGGATTCCATTCGTCAAAAAACAAAAATGCAGTAAATGACTCCAAAAGGTTGCACAGTAAGATAACTCTGTGCTGAAGAAGTGGTGTGACTTGCACAATATTTGCTGTTCTTCCCAACATAATATCTTATGTCATTTTTCTGGGTTTTTTTTTTGGGGGGGGGGGGGTTCGGTTAATATCTGCAAGTACTCGACTACTCGCGAGTAATTTCTTTGCGAGTACATGTACTTAAGTTGAATATTCCACTACTTGCCCAGGCCTAGTACACATACACTCAAACGTTATTTTTAAAAAAGTCAACTGGATGAATACACTGTACGTGTACAATAAACAATATTTTCATGGTATTTTCACCTTGACTTGTCATTTCAAGTCAATCAGCTCCTAACACACAATACGTTAATGTGATTGCCTGACAGGCCACAGCTGATGTTCAACAGATTGCTCAGTTGGATTTAAAAACATGTAGGTTCATGGACATGAACATGTAGCCTGGCAACTGTTTACTTGACAGCAATGTAAAGTCTGAATCTATGTTGTGTCAAAAAAGATGCAATACGGAAATCAAGAGCTGTTCTACTACTGTACAGCATAAGGTCATGAATATTATTGGTAGGAACAAGACTTGTCATGTACAATAATCCAGAAACCTGTATGACTGAAACAAATTCTGATTATACTATTAAGTACATGTACAGGTACAGTGTATTACTGTGATCAGCATGAATGATATATACATGTATCTTGAGTACATGTGCATATATGTAACTCATGTCCAGGTACATCACCTTGAATGTGCTTCTTGGGGGCTTTGTATATTATTGTCCTCTTTATTTAATACTTACAAAGTAAGAAGCATTAGCATTCCATGTGAGCTTATAAGTTTGTGATGTCTGTACATGAACCAGTCTACATTTAATATGATGTACATTGAGAATATAGAAAGTCCCGACTACTGTAGCTGGTTCTTTTTTTTCTGCATTTGTTGTATTCATTACACATGCTGGGGTTTTTTATTATAATTTTTGCAACCATGTACAAGATAATGTGTTGTTGCTTCTCTATTATGTGTATTCATGTACCAAGTACATGCAACTGATAGAGCTGCTGAAAAACCACTTTGAGCTTCTTTTGATCAAGATTAACATGTTATGTACCGGTGGTACAAGACAGTTTTATGCCCATGATTTGTATTTAAGCGAATACCTCCAGTGGATTACGGAATTCTTGATTGAGATTGTGTACTCCTCTTCTCAGAAAATCCCCTTGTTGGTTATGATTAACACCTTGAGTAGTCATCAACGATGAGAACACTGGTACATGCACATTCCTGGGTGGTAGACGGATTGCTTGAACCTCTGATACCGGCACATGGATGGGTTGTTGGACATGGATAGCTGATGGTATATTGTCTGCAGAGAACATATGAACAGAAGGATTGGTATGGATGGCTGGTGCGTCTACAGGTTGATCTTCTCCTGGCATCACAGACAACATATCTTGATCTTCACAAGTGGGCATGTCTAAGCCGGCATTCAGCATCAGTTTCCGGCAGTAATTGTGCCTCTTACTTTTGTTGTGGGTCACAAGTGTCTCCTTCTTGAAGCGAGAGATGCCTGATATGAAGCCTGTTTTCCCTGCTTTCTCTGTCCCCAAGAGTCGACAAATGGCACAGTACATAACCTGCTTAGTGTTGTCATAGCGCAACCATCTAAACTGAAGCGTCCATCTCTTCTTGAAGTACCTGTTGGCTTCTTTCTTTTTGGTCAAGCTGACAGGGTAGGGATTGTTCTTCTGCCGGGGCATGGAACCTTCTTTAAGGAGGTACATAAGCCTCCTCCCATGATCATCTCCATCCGATGAACAGCCTTGTTCATGAAGATCCATCATCTCGTAACTGTAATCAGCATCCTGACTGAACGAAGGCCCACCAGATGCTGCTGCTTCATTTGCATCATCTGCTGAAGCAGCCTCATAACCAAGAGGTGAATCTTCCAGCTTCACAACAATGTTCTAGAGAAGTCAGGGAAACAGACAAAGAGTTTTAAGATCACAAAGAGTCCTCAAACTTGTTCGTGCAGATTAAATAACCTTGAAAACTGGAACAGGCAAAGCGTCATTATGACGTTATGTTGTGATAAGGCAGTACATGCACATCATCCCATGTACAGTTTATGGGATACATGTACCTTAATACACTATCCAGAAATCAAATGAAGATTCTTAACAAGAGTTGCACCATCACATGTAAAAGAAGAATCTGAAATTTCACATGGACGCGTCTTTAAAAGATTCGCCACATACAAGTTCAATATGTACATGTATGCAAGTCTATACACTACACCATTTGTACAAGGCTAAGAAGGCTTGACATTGTTGACAATAGTGCAGTAAAACTAGAGTTTCCATTTCATCAATACCCATACTTGGCTCTCAAGAGTGCGCCAAACAGTACAATTCTTGCCACTTCTTGCCACAGGTGATGGCCATGACAGACTTTATCTTTTGCAGGGAGTCACAAAGAAAAAAACAGAAAGGCACAATTTTATAAATGACGTTGGCTCACATCTATCTACATCTGTTTTCAGTCCACGAGGAGTCCAATATGTCCAGCCCACCCTCCCAATATTTCCTTAGATGTAATTGTAGCTGTAAGTCTGCACAATTGTCTCACGTTTTGTCTGAAATTTTCCAATTTTAGGCTAGACCATTTGACCTGCAGGGGTTTTCTGGACCTGCACCCGATTTCACAAAGCGCTGCGACGCGTCGCAACTCGCGACGCGTCGTATCTTCCATTTCACGAAAGTTGCGATGT